TTTCAAGAGGAAAGCACCAGGGCAAACAAAAAAGTGCTTGTACACAGAGCTTTAAATTGTGGACCTTTGCCTAGAAAGTGTAGGGCAAAAGGTAAATGTGGATGAGCCCTAAGACTTTGTAGAGAAGAGTATTGCAGGAGTAAGACTATTATTTTTATCTTCATACAAATCTGCGTATTTGAAAGGCAGATCTCGCTGATGACTTCATTACCCATTGCTCAGGATTCACTGCCCCATCTTAATCTGTCCACTGACTTTTCGAGTTTCTCGAATAACCACCCTTTTGATCCTGATGGTAACCGTCAACTATGCTATCTCTCTGCATAGAAACTCAATGACTGTATCTATGTGAATCTTCATCCTTCATTTAACGAGTGGATAAAAACGGCAGTGAGTGGCATCCATCCTCTTGGGGCTGGAGTGGGAAGGGAAGCAGGCTTTGCTGAGTTCACGTTCTCAGGATGAGTTTTCCAACTCAAGTCTTCTGCAGAGCCGCAGGAGACTTGCTGAAGGGATTTCCAGTTGTGGTTTGGGAAGACTTTTTCTTCCTCTAAGCCAAACAAACCCAAACAGCACTGAACCAGTTGTTGGTGTTAATTAGTCCCTACTGGACAGCCACTGCCAGAAAGCAACAGATGCTGACGTTATGGTATGTTTCATGTAAGCCTTGAAAATCAATAAAATGCTATCCCTATGGAACAGGAAATAATTTGAGAGAGGATTTTGAACATTTGCCTTTGATGACATGGTTTTCAAAACAAAGTGCTAGCAGCCACGACTGTCGTTACAGTGGGAAAGAAGGCTGGCCCCTCAAGAGTTATTTCAGGCCCTTCACTTTGAATTTTCAGCCTTAATGTCAACAATATGGAAATATAAATCCATGGGAAGTATAAGGAAAAATGAAGTGCATTATTCAAACCAATTGCTCAGGGCAAGATTGGATTAAGTTGCCTTGACTACTGTAAACTGTAATGTGGTGTATTTGGGACTATCTTTGGAAATGGCCAGGAAACTGCTAACTTATTTTAAAGCACAGCGGGCTACTTACTGGGATTGGCCATTGCGAACACACGTTGCCAGTACTTCAAGAATTTCGCTAGCTCCCAGTCTACTTCCAATGTCAATTAAAAATGTAGGTGCTTCCCAGGGGGTGGACAGAGACCTTTTGGCCTGCTGCCCCCTCTGACCCAAATCCAGGCATGTGCCCCAGCAGTGTGGAAGGAGACCAGGGGCAATCCAGCCGCTCTGCAGGAATGCCCCCTTTGTGCTGAGAGACTTGGTGAAAAAGGAGCGTTCTGCAGAGTGTTGCTGCTACACTCCTTGCCTTTGACTTTGGGCTGTGTCTTCAGCTTACCCAAAGCCAAGTCAGAAGCTGCTGCCATTGAGGCCAGAGAAGGGTGACAGTTGAAAGAGAAGAAGTGGAGATGCAGTGGCGGTAGCATGGTTGTGGTGGCCAGGATCTCCCTGCCTCGCCCCTGTGGAGCATGCTGCCTGAGGCAGGCTGCTTCAGATCGCCTCGTTGGTGTGCGATCTGGTGCCATGGTTCTTCCCCTTTTAAGGCTCATACAGCATGGGACCCGCTATCCAAAGGAACAGCTGTTCTTGTATCAATCTGCCCATGCAGTGCCATCTTTAGAGGTTGTCCTCTGGGTACCACCACCATCTGAGGAGAGGTGGGTGGTGACCAGAGAGAGGGAGGACCTTCTTGGTAGATTCCTATCACAGAAAGGAATTTTTGCCCTTTGAGCACCCGGCTAAAACAGTTTTATTTTGCCTAGTGTGGTTGTTTTTAACTGCTGCTGTTCATCATTGCTATTGTATTTTATATTTTATGCCCTGGAACTTTGGCTGAAGCCTGTCACACACATTTTAAAGGACACACGTATGTATGTAGGTTTCCAAACCTGAATTTGCCAAAGCAATATTGGGAGTGGCTGTGTACCACTCCAGAAGCAGTATGCCTGTGAATAACACTTGCTGTTTGTGATCGTGGCATGCTTTCAGGCTTTCCGCTGGTTGTCCACTGTGAGAACAGAGGGCTGAACACCAGTAGGGCTGTGTGTTGCCTCCTGCTGCTGTGGATGTAGAAACTCACTAAGAGCTGAGTTCACGGTTGAACAAACTTTATTTTTGCTGAGGTTTGGGAGCCTGCACATAGTAGTAGTTAACTTCTCCAACTAGGTCACACCGTTTTGTCAGCTCTCCAGGAGCTAGCTGCCTGGGTCATAGCTGTTTCTCTTGAATGGGGCCACATGCCAAATATTTAGTTGACAATGCACATGTTACAGACTGCTTAATTATGTACTGAATTCTTCCTACCAATTCTCCCTTACAAATGCTGGATCTATTCTCTTCCCCAAAGTCCTTCAAGGGTAAGCAGCCTACAGAAGTCAGTACTGGCAGGTGGGAGAAGGGTTACAAACCCCATCCAGTTACGCATTTCCCCCTGCAATTTCTCTCCCCTCGTCTCAGCATTACCATTATGAGACAAATATGGGGGAGTTGGTCATAAATATGTAGTGTTGGCCTTGGCTGGAAGTGAGTGAGAGCAAAAGCACTTGGGTGACTGATAAACACATAGGCACAAATCATGCTAATAATTTTGTATTTTACTAAAATGATTTAAAGCAATCCCTTTATTCTCAACATATTAAGCTACTTGCATTCATGATTTGCATTATCTCTCATAATGGGCCATGCGCTTTGTGTCTTCCGGCCCATGCTGTCACAAAAACGCCAAGGAACGGCCTGTAGACAGTCCATACACTGGTTGTATTATCTGAATTGCACTGAAGAAAAGGATCGTGTCATGGGTTGGGTGGCTTATTATGCATTTAAGTACCAGTAATCTAATTGAAATGTAAATAGCTGCCTAGAAAGAGGAAGAACAGAGGGGCTGTTCAGCTGTCTTTTTAAATTTGCTTTTTCCAAGGCACTGCTGGCTCCAAGTTTTTGTGAGCCTTTGGTCAAGAGAATGTCAGGGCAGATTCACATTTAATTTGTTTTAGAATATGCTACAACAAAATGTACTATCAGTTGTGAACGGTATATGTGTACTGTATAAATGGACATGCATTTCTGCAGTAAACGCAGAGGTTGGGGGCCATTCCTGGTTCTACGTTTATTGCTGGGCTTATCCTGACATTTAAGTGAACATTCACCATTCAAAATTGCCAATACCACACACACACTTTTTGTAGAGCTGTCACCTGTTTGAAGAAATGCTAAACAATTAACCTTATGACCTTTAGTTGATTGATTTGAGTGTAATAACTTATGAGTGGGAAAGGTTCTAAAGAAAAAACATACATTTTCTTTCATTTCAGCTGATGCATGCTTGTATTACAGCAGCTATTATTTCTAATAAGAATGTACAATTGTTATTCATTATTGTAATCCTAGTCACCCAGCTTTTCTAATTGTTCCATTGTGCTTTGTTAAATTAATGCCATAGGCAGCCTCTCAGGGTAACTAAAACAGATCAGCTAAACTAATGCATCTGTGCTGTTGTGCTACTGTAATCTGATTAGTAAAATGTTCTTTGCACAATCCAAAAGACAGCATAGGATGGAGGCAGAGACGTACCTAGGCTCCCTTGCGCCCTTGGCACCCCTGCCATCCCTTGCCCCCTAGGCAATCATTGGCTCTCTTTGTCTTTCTTCACGATTTTTGTGCCCACCCATGGCAGGGGCCAACCTAGCCAACCACTAGGTACCCCCCTGGATGGAGGTCAAAACTCATATTAACCACTCTACATTTTTAAAGCTTGCCCATAGGCTTCCATTTGAAATTTCACATTATTTTTTATGAAGCTATAATAATCATGGAATTCGTCATAGGTCAAATTCTTCCCCAAAGCATTACAGAGGCAACTTTATTCATCTAGTGAAAGCTTCCCTAATAAAAACCAAATTGTTGAACTGTGTTTAGTTTGTTCGGGGTGGGGTTTTTTTTGGAGTGGTGATAAATTGAACAGCCGCTCTGAGTTCTTGAAACATGAAGTAAACCAAGAAGGAAAATAGAGCTGGTTTGCTCAAGATGGCAGGTTTTCCATGCAGTAAAGCATGGCATAATGTAATGGGCTCATCCATACATGCCTTTCTGCCTATATAGCATTTAATGAGCATATCTGTTTAGGCCATTCTTGTGTGTGTGTGTGCATAAAAGTGTCTTTTGAAATTAATATCTCAGATAGGTACTTGAAGCCAGACACTCTTAAAGTACATGGAAGCAGAATGTTGTGAGCATACAGTATTTTATTCCTTGAAAATATTCAGGATCCTAGAGACTTAAGTTGTTGAGTTATGGCACTGAGCTCACCGTTGTTGATGCTTTCTGGCGAATTGTTTATTGCTGCTAAGTGTAAGTGCAATGGCCCCTTAGTTCAGCTTTGCAACTGGAGGCATAAGCTGCCTTGAAGATAGTTGGCGAAGGTTTAGATTTCTTTCCCACCCTTCACTGTGACGTCTCTGGGTGGGTTACAACAATTTAAAAATACAGTACTAAAAGCATTTAAAACAAATTACAGTCAAGAGAATAGGCTTGATCCTAAAATATGTTTATTAGGTGTTCACTCTTACCTGCACTGTGATGTGTGCTGCATACTGCAAACTTGCCTCTCCAGGATTTTTTTGAGAGATAGGGAGTTATCCAACTAAACAGTTCTGCCAATGTATACAGTTTTGGCTGCACAGTGCAACTCTCCCCTCCCCCCCCCCCCGTCTCCCTGTGGACCTCCTAAATCTCATATAGGTTTCCTTTCAACCCTTTGGAACAGATTTAGGGAGGGCACAGGGGGCAAGAAATTTTCATTGTGCAGCTAGAGGGCCCTATACTAGTGGGACTCTTTAGTTGGGTCCAGTCCACAGTTTTCTGCCTTTCAATGTGGATTTGAGCCACATCACTGATACTTGGAAGGCTCTCCTATATGAATGTATCCATACTGTACTGAACAACACTGTCTTGCTTATTTCTGAAATGCCTTTTTTCCCCTTCACCAGAAAACTTCAGCACAGAAGTTGGCCTCTTGGAGCTGATTGGAGATCCCCCACCAGACCAGATAACCAAAGTGTATGGCCCAGACAACAGCCCTGGCTATGTGTTTGGACTGGATGCCAACACTGGACAAGTGGCACGTTACCACCTCCCCAGCCCGTTTTACAGAGACTTCTCGCTCTTGTTCCATGTGCAGCCCACCACAGACAAGGCAGGGGTCCTTTTTGCTATCACGGATGCCTCCCAGTCAATCATTTATGTTGGCGTGAAGCTATCAGAGGTGAAAGATGGGAAACAGCAGATCATCTTCTATTATACGGAGCCTGGCTCTCAGAACTCCTATGCCGCTGCTGCATTCACAGTGCCTTCCCTAGTCAATCAGTGGACTCGCTTTGCCATCAGTGTGGAGGATGAGGAAGTCGTTCTCTATGTAGACTGTGAGGAGTTTGAGCGGGTCCGTTTTGAACGCTCGCCTGATGAGATGGAGCTGGAAGATGGCTCAGGGCTTTTTGTGGCACAAGCTGGAGGAGCTGATCCCGATAAATACCAGGTGAGCATGGACTTACACCAAGGTATTCTTTTCAGTGAAAATGGTCACAGGCTGATGTGAGTTCACAGTGAACAGAGAGTGTTGAAATACATAATTTGGCCTTGTGTGATTCAGTAGACTAAGGAAGTGGGAACAAGCAAAATAAAAATAAAAATCCACTGACATGTTGTTGGCTTACCCAAAGTTTCTATCAAGGAGCTTTCTCCTTGCTCTTGTACTCAGGCTGCCTCAGCCTCCAATTTCCCATCTGCATTTGCCTTTTACTAGTGAGAAAAGAGGCCCAGTAAGGAGATGGCAATTCAGAGATACAAGAATACTGAGGTTTTCCCCTGTGAATTATTAATTTGCAAGCCTACCAGACATCTCCTGGGCATTGATCTGTTGTGGGATCACTCACTGCTTTTTATAGAAGCATCTGTTTATTTTGGGATGAGAATTTGCCCATTCTCTTATTTATGCATGCAAGGACCTCACCAGAGCATGGAAAAGAGCCTCTAGTCTAACTAGGGGTTCTTAACCTGTGTGTGTTTCCTTATATATAGATCAAATTCAGCATGCATGATCATTATCTCAGTTTATGGAGAACTATCTGTATATATGTGTGTTTTGTGCAGCTGATAGATGGTTGTCTAGTTCCCGTGTTTGGCAGCCTCAGTAGACCAAAGTTAGCTCAGTAGTGTAATGTTACTGAATATGATTTCCTGGATGTTTCAGCTGCAGAATGTAGGTTAGTTTGTAGAAATTTTGATTTTTGTGGTTTTTAAATCTTTTTTGCCTGTACCCATTTTACTTTGGTGCGTATGCTCATTATGCACATCTATCAATGAACACTGAAATATATTTTGATGTTTCTTTTTTTATAAAAAACAAACAAACCACACCAACCCAATGAATTGCCATTGTGAAGAATCTGATGAGGAATATATGGAAGTAATTATAGCCAGTACTTATAAGTGACAGTGTCTTTTGAAGTCTATCTTTCTTTTTGCAGAAAGAGATTATTTTGTTAACTTTGTGAAGAGCTTTAAAAATGAATCTGAATAATCATTCCAGTGTATCATCCAGAGTGAAAAACAAAGGGGAAGTAATTAACATTTTTCACCATCAAGTTCATTTCCAGACACTGGCTTAATTTGTCAGTCTAGTGACCCCTGTGATTCGTACTTGGCCCTCCCCACTGAGATCAAATCCATTGCTGCATTCTTCTTTTGTGGGTGGTGGTGGTGGAGGAGGGTGGCCAGAATTTTCTACAGCTGATGTCTGCAGACAAAAGCATGGGGTATTTCTACCCAAGCCTTGTTGACAACTGATTTGAAAATGTGATAAATGCTGCTTTTGCTGCTTTTCAGCACAGATTGCCTTGGGGAGCAGTTTCCCCTGCCCACTCAGTAACAGATGTGGATATTCATATGGTATACACACAACAGATACTTTCTTTAGTCTGCTGCTACCAGAATGCAAGAGGAATGTTAAACAGTAGCTGCAGGTGACTGAACTAGAAGTTCTTACATGTTCTTACATAGCACATTGGTAAACTGTGGAATTTGTTCCCATGAGAAGTTGTAGCAGCCACCAACTTGGATGATTTTAGAAGAGGATTATATAAGTTCATGGAGGATGGGCTATCAATGGCTACTAGCCATGATGGTTACGTATGTTCTGTCCTCCCTGTGGGGAAGCAGTATGCCTCTGAATACCATTCACAAGTGAGGAGAATGCTTTTGCACTCAGGTCCTGCTTGCATCGGGTTTGGCCATTGTGGGAACAAGATGCTGAACTAGATGGGCCGTTGGTCTGATCCAACAAGACTCCTCTTACAGTACAGTACAAAAACACTTGATGAGACATAATGGGAGACTAATTTATTTACTGGAAAGAGCAAGGGAGCAGTAAATGCCAGCAAGTATGATTTTTGAAAATATGTGTCAACTCTGGTTTGTTTCAAAGAACAAAATCGGGAGGAAACTTTTATTTTGCACCATCTGCAAAACAGACCGCTTAGAACACAACTCGTTACCCTCCCTGTCCCAGGCATCCTGCCTGTGAGCATAAAATCAGACTCCAGATGGGGAAACATTCCATGTAATAAGTCTAAGGGTAACTTCGTCTTGGGTCAAGAAGAGGATTAGAGTCATCCATGGCCTGCAACAGGGTTTGGATGGAAACTACAAAAATAGGCTTGACCCCTGTGAGTGTACACAGGTTTTTGCGTGTTTTAAAAGATGATGACTAGTTTTACTCTAGAGCTGTGCCAGTGAATGTTTATCCATTTAGAAATCTTTCTGAAGAGGTTGTTTGGAGGACTGTGGATCTGGTGTAAATCAAAGAGTTTCAAAATATGCGGTTATTTATCCTCCCACCTCGAGTCTTTGTGCGCCTACCTTTCAAAAGCAACAATTCCAACTCTATATAATGTACAAAATTTATCTCAGGGACTCTTTCCCAGTAAGGTGCTACCCAGGTTCCCATGCCATCTTTTCTCTTGTGGATGTGTGGAGAATGGAGCCCCTTTTAGCTTGGAGGGAGACAAAATCATTTGAGGCAAAAGGGGTGTGGTCATCATTTACCCCCCACCCCCACCCCACACCAGTGAAGGCTTACATAGGGAATCCGCAGCACACAAAGACAGATATTGCCACTTTACTTGGGGTACAGCAGAAGGCATGTGTAGCCTCATTTAAGCACTCTACATTTGGAAAGTTAAGGGTTTCTTTAATTCCATAAGAGATCCTTTGGTTCAGCTGCGCTCTTCACTTGGTTCAGGTATGACTGGTACCCTCCATCAGAAGTAGTTTAGCTTCTATTTCTACCTGAAATGCCCTCACATTGGTGTGTTGTGTGTTACAGGGTAATATGTTTATGCTGATGCACTGATGCGGTGGGTGATTCCATATCATCCAACACTGTTGAAGGGCACAGTCAATACTACATGGGGTTCATACTAGTTTGTGCAGGATGCCAGTGAGATGCCAGTTAGAATGAGCCTCAGTTCCTTGAGTTTAGACATAGCTTGTTCTATGTTCATAGAAGTTTTTAGCCCCCCCCCCCCAGTGAAGCAGGTAACATGTGAGCCTGTGGCTCATGCAGGCTTGTTGCTAAAGTTAAACCATGGTTTGTCATTATATCTGGATTGAGCCAGTGTGAACTGGCATATTCAATGCCATCACAGTGAATTGTGGGTTGACCTACCACAAGTCAACTTCGGATCACAGTTTATGAAGCTAGTTTGTTTTCTCTGATAGTTAAGTTTCACAACGATAGTTAAGATTAATTGCAGTTTAGGATTTGGATGGAATGTTAAACCATGGTTAACCTAAACTGGAAATGGAAGCTTCCAATCTCACCTTCACCGCCACACTGGAGGATGTGTATGGAGGTGCACATGAGCTTAAGGCTCACTGTGGCTTGTCTTCATACCACTAAAACATCATTTAGCATTACATGCAGACAGGGCATATATGTTTTGGATTGAACTTTTAGGAAAGAATTTGTTGTGCTTCAGATGTATACAGTAGTTGTAAAGACTAAATAAATGCTAAGGAAGTGTGGATTATCTTCAGGAATGCAAACAAATAGTAGCATCCTAACAAAGCTAATGGATGAAAGATTGTCGAGAAGATTCTACAGCTTATAAACACATGCAGCATTTTCCTCCTTTAGAGTGGGAAAAATAAGGGAATTAATACTGATCACTCTCTGTTCTTGAGACCAAGGATTTGGCATAGAAACTTGAAATCCTAGTCAGGAAAACATAACCATATATAGGCTCTGAAATCCAGATATTTAAAAGAAAAATTGGGAACTTGGACTTCGGTATACATTTTAAAACGCCCTTGGCCTAGTGTTGACTTGAAACAGCAGGGTATGTTTCACAAAAAAACCCACCTTTAGCCCCATTCTCCCATGAAATGCACCTCTTTCTTTTTCTTGTTACAAGTTTTCATAGGAGTTGCAAAGCAGGGTGAACACACTTAACCTGCTGAGAAGTGAGGTCAAGAAACATTGCCTTCATTTTGATTTGGCTACATAACATCATCGGAAAGCTTTTATGACATTCCTGCAGAACTGAATGTGATGCGCTCTTTGATAACATTGTGCTGCCTATAATATTATGGCGTGTCTGGAATTGCTTCTGGAACAAGCATGTGATGATTTGTTTGAGGTTGTTTTGTTAGCCAATGCTACATATCAAGGAAACGACCAGTTTCAGGGAGACAGTGAATATCATACCAGAAAGGTAATCAAAGGGGGCTTGTGAATATTTCCCCCTTGCAAAAGATTATGAGAAACCCAAAGCTGGCCCATGTACTCCATAATACCTGCTGCACCTTGTTTCCGCCAGCAGCTTCCTTGTTCTCTTCACCCTCAAAATGAAGATTGGAATGATGAGCAGTGGGAGGAATTTAGAGAGATCACAACAAATTGTTTTCCTGATTTCTTCACAGAAGGCTGTCCTGTCCTTAACTGCTCTCTCTTAAGAATAAGAGCACCTTGTTTGTCTGTTCTCCCCACTTTTGGTCATGCAGCTACTTGAAGCCTCTGGCCTGTCCTTGCCTGCCTCCTGTTTCTACTCTCTTGCCCCAAGAGCATGAGGTGATGATGTATTGTGTAGTGTATTTACAGTGAGGTGAGGTACGTAAATCCTGCACTTGAACATAAAGGCCTGGCAGTCTCCCAGATGAAGATCTCACTGTGCATAGAAATGTTTGCTCCTACCTGGCAGGAGCATAATACACGTATGGGAAAGGAAGGGAGGGGGCCAGAGTTGTAGCTGTGTCAAATTGGTATCTATCAAAAAGGCAAGGAGAAAGAGTTAGTGGCAGTCTTTAAATGTAAGACCGTTTTAGAATGCTGGTGCTTTATAGTTCTTGTTTCATACACGATCAAGAAAAGGCAGTGCTGCTGTTGGCTCCCCAATGATAAATATGAGCTAAGTGTGAGGAGTGGTTGACTGCCTCCTTCAATTCTGCCCATCTACTGTATTCAACATCAGAATCTATACTATGACTGTTGGACCCACTATTGGTCTCACCCACTCAGTTTGCTGGATCCTGTCTTTGCATGCGGTGGAAGTCCCAAACTCTCCAAGGGTTTGAGACCCCACAGCTACCCTCATGTAGTTTATCCAGCCAGTTGAATCCGCTTCCCGGGTATGGCTGCTGTTGCATGCTGACATTTTCTAGGAGCCGCAGGTGAGAACTGGGTGCAGGTTGAGGACCAAGTTGGACAAACTACCCCAGAAGGATGACATCATGTCCCCCATCAGAGGTGCCACCCCTCCTGTAACACCCCCTAGACCACAGTGGCATCCACTATACCTCAATTTATCCTCCAAATCACACTTTGGATGTTTGTTTGAATCGAGCCATTGCGTAAATGGATCTTCAAAGACTGCTTCTTTCTAAAGGCTCTTTGAGCTGAGATTTGATTTCAGATTTCCTGAGACCAAATTAAAGCACTGCTGTACCACAAAATTGGTACCACCTTGGCTATCCATCATCTAGAGCCATCAAGTCAGGAGAATAGAAAGATTCAACATTGTAAGTCCTCTGATCCATCACTGGCGAAGAGGCAGTAGTGAACTGGTAGTGGAGATACCTGGAGCTTTTAGCAATATTTCTTTGCAGCTAATTTTTTTACCACACATGCCTCATTAAAACTATTGCTGCTTGTGAACAGGAAAGAAAGGAGCGTGTGTCATTGGTTCTTAGCTGATGTAAGACCGATCAGTCTGCTGTTCACCAAAAGCCTTGGTTTGCTTCAGTTCTCAGAAGTTAGGATGGAATCTGCTGATCTGAGCTATTCCTAAATGTTCATAATTTTTGTTGAAAGCAATCTCTATGTAAGCAATTTCACTAGCCACCAGAGAGGCTGAGGGAAGCAAAGGTGATCTGCACAAATTAAAGCAGAGAATGTGTGTGGGTGCATGCATTTGTAACAGTTTACTGAAATATGCTTTTGAGTTATGGGACAGGCTGTTTTCCTGCAAATGAAGGAGTTGCTTGGCTTTTGCAAGCATGGAAGAAGGAAGATGGCAGGGAGATCACTCCTGTTTGCATGCTCTCTGTGCTATGAAAAAGCCTTTGAGAGTCTACTGCAGAATAGCTTTGAAGGGGCAGCTGCACACATAGAACTTTGGGTAAAAGCTTTATCTTGTCCTCCTCTGTGGCTTTTGTCAGTGACCCCCATTAAATTGGCTCAGTCGGCAGGCTGGAGCAGGAATGTTCCGTTAGATTTAAGGGGCAGCTTGTTGGCTGATGGTCACGCTGTGCTCTCAGCTTCCTTCCAAATTGTAAACTCAGATGGAATGGATCCACTGTAAAGTTTCATCTAGCAGATGATCTTTTTTTAATTGTGCCTGGAGAAGAATGATCCCTCACCCCACCCCTTGGCTCTGGAGAACTGACATTGCCTAAAAGCCACCCCTTTGTCTGTCTAACAGTCTGATGAATCACAAAATATGAATCACATTATAGGGCTGCATAGGAACAAGTCATCACCTCTTTGCCTGCAGAGCAAAGGTTCAACTCAAGCAAGGAACCAGTGGGCACACTGCAGTGTAATTATTAGTGGTACCCATCAGCCTGATTTGAAGTGTAGCTTTATCTCAAACTCAGTTATGGGCATGAGTCACATATTTGTTTAAGGGGGAAAGCTAGTGTCTCCCCACATATTTAAAATATTTAGGTTTGCTTTGGATTCTGACAAATGTGAGCTGGGTGAATGGGGGCATCAGCTTCTCTGTAACAGTATGTGGTGGGGACAGAAAAGGTTCACATTTCTCCTCTAAACGTTCCTTCCAGAAGTCTTTCTTTCTTTCTTTCTTTCTTTCTTTCTTTCTTTCTTTCTTTCTTTCTTTCTTTCTTTCTTTCTTTCATAATTCTCAATCTGTCAAAAATGATGGAACAAAATTGTTAAAACTGCTTTTATAAACTGGACCATAAAGGAATGAAACTGTCTTTTAGTCCATTCTTAACTCCTAAGATCTGCATGTGTGCCCAGGACCTAAGTGGTTAGGATGTTACATGCCCACAGCTGCTCCTGATCAGCATTGCAAAACACGATGCAGCCTTTGGTTGATGATCTCCGGCGGGCTAGGGACAAAGGTGAGAGCTGTTTCCTAGTTCTGCTGGATCTCTCAGCGGCATTTGATACCATCAACCATAACATCCTTCTGGACCGTCTTGAGGGGCTGGGAGCTGGGGGTACTGTCATACAGTGGTTCCGCTCCTTCCTCCTGGGCCGTGTTCAGAAAGTGGTGGTGGGGGATGAGTGTTCAGACCCCTGGGCTCTCACTTGTGGGGTGCCTCAGGGTTCTGTCCTCTCCCCTATGCTTTTCAACATCTACATGCAGCCGCTGGGAGAGATCATCAGGGGGTTTGGGCTGGGTGTTCATCAGTATGCAGATGATACCCAGCTCTACCTTTCTTTCAAATCAGAACCAGTGAAGGCGGTGACGGTCCTGTGTGAGTGTCTGGAGGCGGTTGGAGGATGGATGGCGGCAAACAGATTGAGATTGAATCCTGACAAGACAGAAGTACTGTTTCTGGGGGACAGGAGGCGGGCAGGTGTGGAGGATTCCCTGGTCCTGAATGGGGTAACCGTGCCCCTGAAGGACCAGGTGCGCAGCCTGGGAGTCATTTTGGACTCACAGCTGTCCATGGAGGCACAGGTTAAATCCGTGTCCAGGGCAGCTGTGTACCAGCTCCATCTGGTACGTAGGCTGAGACCCTATCTGCCCGCGGACTGCCTCGCCAGAGTGGTGCATGCTCTGGTTATCTCCCGCTTGGACTACTGCAATGCGCTCTATGTGGGGCTACCTTTGAAGGTGACCCGGAAACTACAACTAATCCAGAATGCAGCAGCCAGACTGGTGACTGGGAACGGCCGCCGAGACCATATAACACCGGTCTTGAAAGACCTACATTGGCTCCCAGTACGTTTCCGAGCACAATTCAAAGTGTTGGTGCTGACCTTTAAAGCCCTAAACGGCCTCGGTCCAGTATACCTGAAGGAGCGTCTCCACCTCCATCGTTCTACCCGGACACTGAGGTCCAGCACCGAGGGCCTTCTGGCGGTTCCCTCACTGCGAGAAGCCAAGTTACAGGGAACCAGGCAGAGGGCCTTCTCGGTAGTGGCGCCCTCCCTGTGGAACGCCCTCCCACCAGATGTCAAAGAGAACAACAACTACCAGACTTTTAGAAGACATCTGAAGGCAGCCCTGTTTAGGGAAGCTTTTAATGTTTGATGTATCACAGTATTTTAATATTCTTTTGGAAGCCGCCCAGAGTGGCTGGGGAAACCCAGCCAGATGGGCGGGGTATAAATAATAAATTATTATTATTATTATTATTTGGAATGTATCTGAGGCAAGTAAGGCAGGTGTGAACATTGTAGCATTCAGGTGTCGGGTTGTCACACTAGACATTACACTCCCTCCCCCGTGTGTGTGTGTGTGTGTGTGTGTGACAGACAGACAGACAGACAGACAGACAGACAGAAACTCTGTACCACCCCACATGATGCATCTTGCTGCTGGTTTGCTTTTCAGGCTGCAAAGATTCAGGGGGGGGGGAAATGATAGTTCATATGAGACTTGTGGGTGCTGGGAATGCTGAATCTGTGTGCTTGACCACCCAAAAACCTTATTAGAAAGAACCATAGATTTTGAAGAGACCAGAAAGAAATATAAAGTCCATCTCTCTGCCACAAGGCAACCTCCTTCCCACATAGTTTTTGTTCTCCTGTCGTAAATAATTTACATTGGATGCTAAAGTTTTGATCAGCGTAGGTGGGATATCTCTGGTCTACAATGAGAGATCAATGAACTGTTTGCTTTAATTAGAAGTGATACAACAACCATTGCAGCTTGTGCCAGGGGGACTCTGTGAAACAGAGCCATTGCCATTGGAAATATGAGCAAGCTGCGTCTGTGTTGGAAATGAGTCTTGGCTTATAATCAAGTAGGAAATGTAATCAATCATTAGGGTGCCAGGCCTCAGGGTTGTACTCCCCCACAAATGGGCGTGGTGCTCTCTGCTTCATGGAAGCTAAAAAAGTAATGATGCCTGTGTTTCTGGTTTCGTAGGGTGTAATTGCAGAATTGAAAGTGAAAGGAGATCCTCGCGCAGCTGATGTCCAGTGTGAGGAAGATGATGATGATTCTGATATGGTAAGTGATTCTGATATGGTAAGTGGCTCAGGATTTAACCATATTAAAGCTGTTGTATATTGGGGTGGTTCAGACATACTGCTACTAAACCATAGTTTAGCAGTATGAGAAGATGTGGTTAATCTTAACTATGGTTAGTGGAAACAAGCCAAATTCAAAAACTATTGCTTATGAAACTTTTTGTTTTCACAAAAAAGAGTTGAGATAAACCACAGTTTAGGATTCAGATAACTTGCTAAACTGCAGTTAATTTGAAGTGGAAACTTTCAATCTTCTCCTTGTGGCAGATCAATAATCAGTCTAGATCAGTATTTTCTGAAGGCATACCTCTTTAGCCAGGCTTTTGGGAGGGTGTGGTAAGAGGCTAGCCAGTCTCACCTTGTTTATATTTTTCATTGTTTTTGTGTGTATGTGTTACGGTTTTATATTTGCTATTTCTTTGTTACCTTTATGACGTATACCTTGTCCTGGGATTATGTGATAAAGGGCAGGCTTATAAATTGCACTAAAAAAATAAATAAACCCTCAGTTTGGCAGACTCTCACAATGCTGTGGTTTATCTGACACCACAAAGTCAGACCGCATGGTGCCAGATAGGCAGTAGGATTTGTGCAAGCTGCTCTGGATAGAATGCAGAAGTTTAAATTAACTCCTGAAGAAGGAACTTCTGTTCTGAAATGCACTGAGCTGTAATAAACCTTAATTATTGGCAATTTTGAGAACTAGTTTCTCCCTTTTGCATTCTTTCTGGTACAGTGGTACCTTGGTTTAAGAACAGCTTAGTTTATGAACAACTTGGATTAAGAACGCTGCAAACCCGGAAGTAGGTGTTTTGGTTTGTGAACTTTGCCTTGGAAGCAGAACATGTTCCGCTTCCTGTTGAGTGTGTTCCGTTAGTAAATTGAGTCCCCCGCTGCTATGGGAAAGCACACCTTGGTTTAAAAATGCTTTGGTTTAAGAATGGACTTCCGGAACAGATTAAGTTCGTAAACCAAGGTATCACTATATGTGTGCCTTCCTCGTAGTCAAAACGACCTGCCTTCCTTACATGGAATGAGAAGGATGAAGTAAATTAAGGAGTTGTTTTCCCAGAATAATGTATAGGAATCCCTTACTGTGAAGAGAACCTCTTGGGACTTGATTCACAAATCCCAGGAAGTCATTGCAAAATCAGAAGACTTGTGCTTTTGAGAGTTTGAGGACCCTTTTGAAAATTTCTACTCTCTTATTAGACCATAGAAAGTAGTGTGCTCACTGGATTAAACTATTTGGTTTCCAGGTCCTCACTTGTTAGTATTTCCATTGGCCAGTTAAAATATTTCTCATCTTAAAGTCAACAAAGAGCAAGACTGCAGTGGTGTTTGTTTATGCAATGAATTTCTATGCCACTTTTCTTTAAAACAGAGGCTGCTTACAAGTTTAACAGACTGTATCTGCCACTAAGATATTTTATCATAAAACCCAAGCAAATTAGAAAACCATTCTGTTAAATGCCTTGAAAAAACCATCTTCCTTTGCCTCCAGAAGCCCAGAAACATCTGATGTCAAAGGGTTCCTGCAGGAGGGTGAGCCGTAGGAAGAGAATAGTTAAAAAGCTCTGTCACCTGCCACTGCCGATTTAACCTGGTTGGCAGGGATAGAAGCCTATAGCAGAGACCCTCCTTGCCCACTTAGAGAAGAGATAAGCTTGTAAGAAGAAAAGGGTTCCATAAATGTTGAGAGAAGACACCACTTCACAATAGCTGAATGTGGCTTGAGGATTAGTTTTCTGCATATGGTTGATATATTTTTACACCAAACTTCTGTTGCTATGCTCTAGCCCGGCTATTGCATTTCATAGGGTTTTTTCCCCCAGGGAAACAATTGACTATACTGAATTCATTAATCAAGTGAGTGCAACCATCCTTCATTTGCATCCTCTGCTTACCTTTATCTTTCATTTAAACAAAAACCTCTTTAGATATCTGGAGATGGTGGAAGTGGAGCTGAAGAAAGGCCGCAGCCGTCAGAAAAGGAAAAGGTAAAGGTGAGTTCTAGTCCGTGTTCCTGATGTTCCTCTGCCTTGCCTTAACTTTCCATGTTCAAATGTACTTTCTAAAATCCTTGTGTGTGTTATCCTTGCTGTTAGGGTTGATGCATATGGGGCGGCTATTATTATTATTCACTTTTATGCTCTGGTTGTGACAAATGGGTGGTCTCGTTGCACGACACCACTCAAACCCACACCGAGGAAATTGATAATGTTCCGCAAAGTAGTAGCATCCGCTTGTGGTGAGCGAGTCGGATGACTCATTTGCCACAAGTATGGGGCTGCTGGAGGCAGAGGAAGAAAAGTGGTCCTTATGAACTACTCGATCACTTGTGTCAGTCTTACTACATTTCCAGCAGGGAAATGCAAAAGATGTGTAGTGTAGCAAAGAAGAACCACCTCTAGCCATGACGACAGCAGAAAGTTACCCATTTTGTGTGTGGCATCAGTATATACTGAAGAAGATAAAAAGCAAGGATGTGTGAGATGATTAAGGTTAACGTCAGAGGCAATATGCCTGTGGACACCAGTTTCCGGGAATTGCAAGTGTGGAGAGTGCCGCTTTGGGGCTTCCCATAGGCATCTAGTTGGCCAATAGGCATCTAGTTGACTTCTTCTGCTCTTCTGTCCAGTCCCATGGTACATGGCACTTTGCAATCTTTCAGTCTAGTTCATGCAGCAGAAGTGGGGGGGGGGGAGGTAAAAATGATAAGAAAAAACATTATGCTCTGAAAGGTGCAATGGAACTTGAAAAGCAAAGCTGGCATCTTTTACTTATTATCATCAACTTGAGAAAGAAAGCTGATATCTTTCTTAGTGCCCTGAACCACAGGGTACCTGGCGGCATGTCCTGCTGGAGGGCACAATCCCACAGCAGATGCTAGGACGCAGTCTGGCAGGCCAACAAGTCCAAAGTTCAGTCGGACTAGGTTCCTGCCTCTGCAGCCGACCTAGGGATCAGGACCTAGGGACCAGCCCCTCGCAAGCACAGTCCCGTGAGAGGTCCAGAGGCATCCAAGTCAAGGTCCATCAACATGGGCAGTTGAGCAGACACAGCACCTGTTGCCCTTTTCTACTCTGCATGCTGATAGCAGCATCTGGGCTTAAAGAGTCACGTGACCCTCACCTGCTCCAGCTGAGGAATCATACATCTCCCAGACCTAGCAAGTCCCATCTGGCCAGCTAGTGAGCTGGGCTGTTGGTCCTTGCCTGCTTCAGTCACCAAGATCATCCCCCCCCCCGCTCCCTATGCCTCTGAGCCTGCCATGATCATGGAGATGGGGGCCCCTCTGGTGAGGGGTCCTGCAGCTCTGCTTCCTGTGCACTGACCCCCACCTCCTCGCCATCCTCCGTCACCCCGTGAGTACTTCCTACACTATCTTTTCCTTCCCCATCCCCAGCTTGCCCTGATGTGTCCCAGTCCTGGCTACACCCCTTGTCAGGATCCTCTTTCTCCTCCCCATCGTCGTGCCAGTTCATGACACTTAGGGTCCATCCACACTTTGTCCTGTGATTTCTAGTATTTTGTATCAATCTATTACCATGGGTTCAAGAGAGGTGTTTTGCTTTTGTTTTTTGTCCCTCCACTTTCCCTGGGAAAACCCACTATTTACTGCTGCAGACATCAATCCACAGAAAACCCTATTCTAAACCTGGGAATTGTGTTAGGGCAGTTTGCTTCCACCTCCTTTCCTTCTTTCTGCCCCTGCAGGATTTTTTCCCCAGTTGCCTCTCTAGCTTTCAGCAGCACGCTTCTGGTTTACTCTGCATGCTTAATTTTTTATTTTACTTTTCCTTGTTTAGTGCTCGTATAGAATTGTGATCAAATGATACATGTGCATAACATGTGCATGTTCCCCTTGTTTGCTTTGATTGGTTGTGATGGTTCCAATAACAGCTTTATTTTCTGTCTACAATAATATGTATCGGAAGGGTCCTTGCTCCTTTTGTGGATGCCAAATGATTGCCTGATTATCCGGTTTTCTGATTCTCAGGTTCTCTGATTTACTGACTCTGACATGGGTGGGTGCAGCTGAAGGTGGAAACAACATGAAAAGCGAACTATTGGTTTCAGGAATAATGAATGGGGAAAACATGGGGTTTCAGGGGTCTCTCCCCAAGTAAAATCCTAGGCAAAAATCACAAGTGGGAATACCCAGCCCCAGACCAATTTGAAAACAGGGCAAAGAGGTGTAGACTTTAGGAAAAGTGTGGCTGGGTGACAACCGAATTAATAATAATAATAATAATAATAAGCTTGTAAGCTCAGAGCAGCTTACAAGCAATAATAAAAACAAGAAGAATGATTACAACTTAAAAACAAAAATAAAATACAACATTAAAATAATGGAACATTAAAATATTAAAATGTAGCCTCATTGCAGGAGGAGAAGGAAAAGAAAAAAGAAAGAGAGGGAGGGAGGGAGGGAATCAAATTGGCTCCAAGCCAAAGGCCAGGCGGAACAACTCTGTCTTACAGGCCCTGCGGAAAGAAATCAGATCCTGCAGGGCCCTGGTCTCATGAGGCAGAGCGTTCCACCAGGCCGGAGCCAGAGTTGAAAAGGCCCTGGCTCTGGTTGAAGCCAATCTAACTTCCTTAGGGCCTGGGACCACTAGGGTGTTGTTATTTATGGACCTTGAGGCTCTCCGTGGGGCATACCAGGAGAGGCGGTCCCGTAGGTACGAGGGTCCTAGGCCGTGAAGGGCTTTAAAGGTCAAAAGCAGCCCCTTAAATCTGACCCTGTACTCCACCGGGAGCCAGTGCAGCTTGAAAAGCACTGGGTGAATATGCTCCCATGGCAGAGACCCCGTGAGGAGCCTCGCTGCAGCATTCTGTACCCGCTGGAGTTTCTGGGACAGCTTCAAGGGCAGCCCCGCGTAGAGCGAATTACAGTAGTCAAGCCTGGAGATGACCGTCGCATGGATCACTATGGCCAGGTCGGGGCGGGAAAGGTAAGGGACCAACTGCTTGATGCGGCGAAGGTGGAAAAATGTTGCCTTGGCTGTTGCTGTAACTTGCGCCTCCATGGAAAGGGAGGTGTCAAGGATTACACCCAAACTCTTAACGGAAGGCAATGGCACTAATTGGGCCCCCGCAAGACAAGGGAGTTGGTCCCTCATCCCCATGCCATCCCGACCTAGCCATAGGACCTCTGTCTTCGAAGGATTTAGTTTCAATCGGCTCCCACGAAACCATCCAGCCACAGCTTCCAAGCATCTGGTCAGTGTGTAGTGTGTTCGGGGCCGAGTCGGTGTGGCCATCTATCAGCAGATAGAGCTGAGTGTCATCAGCATATTGGTGACAGCCCAGCCCAAAGCTCCGGATAATCTGGGCAAGGGGGCGCATAAAGATGTTAAAAAGCATCGGGGAGAGAATTGCGCCCTGCGGCACTCCACACACCAAGGAGTGGCGCGACGACATTTCCCTCCCTAGTGCCACCCTCTGTCCCCGACCAGAGATAAAAGAGCACAACCGGTTACGGGCTATGCCCTGTATCCCCACGTCTGCGAGGCGGTGGTCCAGAAGATCATGATCGACCATGTCAAAGGCTGCTGACAAATCTAAAAGGATCATCAGTCCTGACCCGCCTCGATCCAGTTGTCTACGGATATCATCTGTTAGGGCAACCAGAGCCGTCTCCGTCCCAAAACCAGGACGGAAACCGGACTGAAATGGATCTAATGTCGATGTTTCCTCCAGAAACCTACCAAGCTGTTCAGCAACCGCTCTCTCAATTACCTTACCCAGGTATGGAAGATTTGAAACTGGGCGGTAATTGGATAGGTCTAAGGGATCTAATGAAGTTTTCTTTAAGAGTGGACACACCACTGCTTCCTTCAGTTCCCCTGGGAATGTCCCCGTGTCAAGGGACAAATTGATAATTTCAACCAGGGGGGTCCGCGCAACATCTGGACACTCCCTAATCAGCCAAGACGGGCACAGATCAAGGAGGCAGGTGGTGGGCCTACCAACTTGGAGGAATCTATCCACATCACTAGGGAGTATCCGATCAAAATGGTCCAACACTGGACCTGAAGTCAGTCGAGGGGCCTCCAGTTCAGTCACTGTATCTAAATTGGCAGGGAGGTCACGGCGGAGCGACAGGACTTTCTCCGCAAAAAAGCTCGCGAATGCCTCACAGCTGTGGGTCGAATTTGTGCTTAAATTTGGTTGTCCTCCTAAGGACGTTATTGACCTAATTATTCTAAAAAGTTGTGCCGGGCGAGAGCTAGCGGATGCAATGGAAGCTGCAAAGTAAGATTTCTTAGCAGCTTTCATAGCTTGGTTTCATAGGCTTGGTTTTTGTATTTGCTACATTTGCTTATTGAATGTCAAAGACACACACCGTAGCAATCCAGCTTCAGAAGTTTAAAATGTGTGGTTTTTTGTGAGAACTCCCTTAGGAAGTGTATATTTGGGAAAGAAAGCCAGCACAATGACAGGGACCCCCTTCCTCCTTCAGCTAACCTTGTGCTGAGTTAGCAGAAACCCAAAGCTGGGCTGAATTTCTAATTGCCTCTAAAACACAACTGTACTGCTGTAAGTAGAAAATACATAAGAGCTACAAGGAACCTTGAACACCTGGTAAATAAGTGTTGCCTTTCCTTGGAGCAGTGAAGGGTGAGATTCCTTATGTGGTATTAAGTTGAAGAGGTCAGGGTGGTGATAAATGGAAAACTTGGGAAGATCAGGTTTGCTGCGCAGCAATCCCTCTTGCTGTTCTGGCTTCAGGGATAGCTGCGCAGCCTGCATTCACTCCATAACACACACACACATTTCCCCTTACTTTTTAGGAGGGGGAAAGTGCATCTTATAGAGCGAAAAATACGGTAACTTGTTAGTTAAATCCAGCCCTCTTTGAGTTTTATTTTCTACTACATAATGAATGAGACTGTTGTTGTCTTCTGGATAGTTCCTGGAAGTTCCTGGATCCCTGCATTTACTTCTGGATAAAGAAGGGCTAGTCTCAGAAGGCACAGAGTAGGGAGGAAGTGTGCACACCAAGCTTTAATAAGTGATAACCAATGTCCAGAATCTTGCTTGAAAGCAAACGGGTTGCCGGTTTTGAAAAGTGATCAGTGTCACCCACTTCTCTAAATCCAACCAAATTCTAAGTTCGGCCGCAATGCCGGTGATGGCATTTTTACTGGCAACAACTTCTGAAGAGTCTTCAAGCACTCCCCATGTGCAGCTCATTGCAATAACAGTTAGCAGTTGCCAGGATATGAACGAAGCTGGCAAGTTTCTCAACAAAGAGAGCTGCAAGTTGGTGTTATCACTGTGTATATAGTGTGCATATGGTATGCCCACGCGTTTCTTTGTTTTTCTATACACTAAAGCCACAGCTTCAAGCATTGTACATTTCAGTTACCCGAAAGAAGATTTCAAGAGTCCAGAGATGATCTGCTAGTTATCCTCTTTCCACCAGATGTGCGGTGCAGCCTGGAAACTTGCCCCTTTGTGCTAATCCAAATAATGTGTCCAAGCTTAGACATCTGTATGATTGAGGATATGAGGTTTTTCCAGGGCAATAATGTTTTGAGGCAGCTGGTCAAGCTGGACTCCTCATTTCCTACTAATGGAGGATCGCTGCTGTTGGGTTTTTGGCAACCTCCAAGCATTTGGCTAGGCACAGCATACCAGGCATGCTGCTGACTGCTTTCAGTGGTGCGTCACATAATCCTAGACTCTGCTAACTTTCTCCTTCTTCGGGTTTCCTCTTTGTCTCGCCCACATCTGATTACCCACATCATGGTTAATCCTGTCGTCCCTGTCCGTCCCCCCGAGCTAGTCCAGCAAGAATGTGTATGTGAGCAGATTGTTGGGTGTTTGCTCCTGGCACACCAATGCAACATTTTGGATGCTGAAATACAGGCAAATGTGGAAATATGGGCAAATTAAGTGCAGTCCAATAGCTTTTTCCACCAGACCCACAAACCTTGCCTTTCTGGACTGATGACGAGTATCTGTGTTTTTTCTCTCTGCAAAAAAACATATTGATGTGAGCAAAAAATATTTGCACTTTGAAGAAAATTGCTCTTCCTGAACCTCATATGTTTGGTCACAATAACATTAAAGCATCTTTACTGCAACTTTTATAAAAATAATTACAATGATTTTTCTTCCTTCTCTGTAGCAACAAGCTTTATTGCTTTGTAGCAAGACTGCACAAACCCCTTGATCCTTAATCAGTGTATCATCTGCATCACTAACGCTTTAAAATAATTTACTGAACAGTTGCATGGCTTAGAATCCAGAGGTCCTGAGCTCTGCCCTGGTCCATCAGTCATAGCTCTACAGTGCCGAAGCCATTCCAAGCTGAGGCAGGGAGCCCGGGGTGAGGCAAAATGAGATTTTCCCATTTGAGTCAATGGAAAGGGAATTACTTATGCCAGGCTCTGTCCTGACTTTGATTTCTGGCATTTCTGTCTGGATCCTTGGACCGAGACAGGTTAGTCAGGATCTGGTGTAGCTGTGCCCCTCACCTACGACTCTACGACTCTATTTTGGGAGGATCCATGATAGGAATTCTGCTGATGGGCAGCTACACCTTTCTGTGACACTTGCTACCATTTTGGCAGCAGTGTTTTTGGTAAGAGGCAGCAATTTCCCACTTCTGGTGGCATTGGGAGCTCTTCTTCATCGTCCTAAGACCCTATAGCTGGGAAACTCATGAGTGCAGCATTATACTTTCCCCACTCAGTTTTAAAGCTTGCATTATTGACACAGATGGCATTTAATGTCTAGTTCCTGCTGTTTTGTCCCCCCGCCCCCATTCATGTTGCTATTTAGCACATTTTGCACACTAATTTTCTTCTGCAAAATAAGTTCATGTTTGACATCAACTCCAGGGATTGAGGTCTTTTTGAAATACCCTTTATGTCTAATTTGTTGAGTCTGTATTCTGTTCACGCATCAAACATGGGGATGTTTTACAGCTCTCTGTGAGATCCCTAACGTTTTCCTCCCAGATGGTAGCCTCTGCAGTAGCATACTGTTTCTTGCCACACATTGACAACACATGCTTTGAATTTGCCACTCTTCCTTGTATCTTATTAAAGATGGGTAACAGCATCCCCAGAAATGTAGTGTCACTTCCTTGTTCATGCAGCTCTTTATAAAAATATACATTTAAAAATCACCACTAGTATGTCCACAGGGTAGCTGATGGATGGTGCTTGGAGCCTATTCATTTCTCAGCTGCTTTGTGTGTTTTCCTGCAAAAATTAGATAACTTGAAAGTTTTCCTTTCCTTCCTTTTTGCATGGGATTACCATTAATCTCTGCCTGGCTTTGAGATAAGAGCCATCCTCCCAGCCAGAACTAATGCAAGATCAAGTTGCAAAAACAACCACTTCATTGCAGAGAATGGCCTTCCCAAGGTTTATTTTTTCAAAGTATATTTTTGCACTTGGTGAAGCCAGCCTGGATTCTGCTCAGCATATAGAATCCTGGACCAACATGACTGAAGTGTTAAATCAATAAACACAAGGGCTTGAGTCAGGGATGTTCTTTCATGTGCGTCTTTAATTTTTCTGGAATAAATGCAGCCATGCACCTGTCACTCAATCAACACTCATGATAACTGTACTTTTAAACTGATTCTATACATTGCAGATTAGTCCTTGGAAGCCACTGTGCTTGGATCAGTTCTGAACAAATTTAATAATGAATGGAAATGTAAGGCAGGAGACTCACGAGCACAACAGCCAGTTTGCCCAGAATGTGCTCTTATTTAGCAATGAGCTTAGCAACTCTGTCCTTAGAATTTTCTGTGAGTTTGGCCCCAAATGTTGCAGGACCCAGAATTCACTGTTCGAGCAGAGTGTTGCTTAATGCCTCCTGTATTCAACCTGCGTTTGAGGATGCCTATTTGTTGGTAGTTCTTGTGGATGTTAGCCAGATACAACCTGTACTCATGACATGATGTCATGATGTCTCTTAAAAGGGGTCTCTGGAGCAGGGATGTTTAGAACTTGCAAGACTGAAAGCCATGTCACAGAAATGTTCAGTAGCTTTTATGTGAAGACTCATCATCATACATTGCGTTGAAGGAAGAGTTAATGTATGCATGCACATGTGTGCACAAACATGTGCAAGGGGTGCTTTTTATTTTACTCACATTTTAACTATTTATTTATCCACATAAACAGCTGCTGATATTTATCCAAAGAAGAACTGTTGATATTCCTGAGGGTAGAGAGTATAAAATAGTAAAGGAAAAGGACTCCTGACAGTTAAGTCCAGTCACAGACGACTTTGCGGTTGCAGCACTCATCTCACTTTACAGGCTGAGGGAGCCGGTGTTTGTCCGCAGACAGTTTTTCCGGGTCATGTGGCCAGCATGACTAACCCGCTTTTGGCAAACCAGAGCAGCGCACGGAAATGGCGTTTACCTTCCCGCTGGGGCTGTACCTATTTAGGTACTTGCACTTTGATGTGCTTTCAAACTGCTAGGTTGGCAGGAGCTGCAACCGAACAACAGGAGCTCGCCTCGTTGCAGGGTTTCGAACCGCTGACCTTCTGATCAGCAAGCCCAAGAGGCTCAGTGGTTTAGACCACAGTGCCATCTATGTCCCACGGTAGAGAGTATAGCTTCCAATAAAAACAATTATGCACAAGCAACTGTGGTTTAGCAGTCAGAACTACACTTCCCAGCACCTTAACAAATCACAGTAACCAGGGTTGGACATCTGTGTTACACTGCTCACTTTGTAACAAATTGCAGTAACCCTGTGTGGTGCAAGAGAGTGACTGGTCCAAAATCACCCAAATGAGCTCTATAGCTGAGCAGCATTAGGATTTTGAACACTCTTAAGCATCACGCCTCACTGGCAAACAGTAGTGTGCAAGTGTTTCATTAATACAGGGAACAATTCTAGTTTCTACCCAATGATGTAAACTAGGACAAAAGATGCTAGACACATGACTGGCTCCAAGAGATTTCCTGTCTTCACTTTTTTTCATGCATTTATATGTGGAACACCCATGCCACCCACTGGCCAGAGGTGTAATAGCAGACAATCTGATCTCTGTTTTCTAGGCAAATATGTAAAGTTTATGGGAATTTTGAAACCTCTGGGGGGCGGGCGGAAGAAGTATGTGTGCAATGAATATTTGAATTATATCAAACTTGCATTTACAAACTTCATAACAACACTGAACTTTTCAAAACTGCACTGTCTTTTGTTTTAAGGCTGCTTTCCTCCCATCTCTGGAGGAAGCCTCATTCAGTTCATTAGGACTTGCTTTTGAGTAAACATACATACGATCAGACTGCAAATATAATAACTGCAGATAAAACCAGCTGTCCTGAAAGTACATTTATTTGCTTATTTTATTTCTTTTCCATTCCATCCCAGTAAATCATATATCCATGATCAATGTCTGTGAAATATCTCTATCTCCTGATTTCAAACTTCCATTTTGAGCTTAATCAAACTCAGAAAATGGAAGCTTTGCATGAATTAAACCAACTTTTTTTTGGGTATATATTTTGAAACATTCAGTAGTTTTTCAGTTGATAGAGAAGACCCGGGAATCTGAGTAAGGCTGTATTGTCCCAAAGCATTGCTTCAACTTTGCTGGAACAGTTTGTCTGCCAGTTGGACTGGTTTTTCTGAAGATGTTTTGTATTCTTCAACACTTGAAAGTATTTTCCCAACAGCAGTTTTGTGTGTGTTTCCCTCAAAAATTAGATGACAAGAGTTTTCCTTTTATTATTTTTCACAAGCAGTTCAAATTTTCCTTTTTATTTTGAGGTGAAATATTTAGAGCGCAGTATCAACAGTGCAAGAGCTCCCTGTTATTAGGCTTGCAGGAGCAAAAAGTTTGCCTTAGGTTGCCTATGGCAGAACAAGTGATTGTTTACTTCAGTCCTGTTCCCTTGGCCCAGGTATCACTCTCAAGTCTGCCAGAACCACCACCTGTCACCTCTCCCCCAATTGCCAAAAAGCCCACCCAGCCAGAAGAGAAACTCCACCTGCAAACTGAATTAACCAAACTAGAAGAGGGGCCCCCATTGTCTTCAGGAGGTAAGTCTAGCTTTTCTAAGGTTGGGAACAGTCCCTTAAAAAAATCATTATAGTTCTGACTATTCAAGTTTTCTTGATAATGCTGAACAGAAATGAGTGGAAAAGAAAAACCTTGAATGTCACACATTCCTCATGTTAAGCTTGAGCAAGGGAAAAATGTTTGTGGTGCTTGCTCAGAGCAAGTAGAAATGTAGGCCTCGGGAGTTAGGGTGAACCAGACGTAGCTTTTTTAAACACAAAAGCAGGACTGATTTTGAAAGCATCCTTACTGAAGACAACCGAAACATACCTTTCTTCTCTAGCAGTGGGCACTGATAAACAAACCACTTTCATGTTAATGGAACTGGCTATGGATGACACGGATTGCCTGGCACCTGTAAGGTCACAACTTCCCACCTGTGGAACAGTTCTGCAATTGTGTGTGTGTGTGTGTGTGTGTGTGTGTGTGTGTGTGTGTGTAAACACATACTTCAATGCCCCTTGAAACATGGGCTGGGGCATGTTTGTCAACTGAATCAGCATTCAGTTCATTGGTATGCAAGCGTGCAATTTCAGTTGAGCAGCTATGAGGAAACAGGTTTTGAACTACAGCAGAGAGAATGCCAATGAAGCCTCTTTCTATGCCACATCTATCACCCCTTGTATGAAAGACATGCTGTACTCAAAGCATGCACTGAATATGTCTACCATTAAATATCACCCATGATTTTTCAGACTGGGGCTTTGGAAGGTCAGGTCTTGTGATTAAAGTTGAGAGGGTATAGAAAGGCACCAATAGTTGTTTGTTTATTTGATTATTTTAGTTAATTTAATGAAGAGGACACTTTTATAAATGTCATTCATGTCAGTAGGTAATACTACTAAAAAAAAACCCTTTTTACCAGAACTCTTGACATGACCATTAGAATTATAAAGAAGAAAAAGACCTTTCTTTATAAGTCCACTCATGTCTGACAGTGTTTTCATGTTGAATCTGAATGCCAAGCGTCTTGATTTTCATTCTTTCATTTTTGCAGAAATGTAGAATTACCTTCACAACAGATAATTACACATGTTTATCTTTATATTTCCATCATAGTTGGAGTCAAAGGAGAAAAAGGAGACCCTGGTGAAAAAGGTGAACGTGGCACAAAAGGGGACTCTGGAGTTGGTGGAGTTCTGCCGACAAATGGTGCTAAAGGCGAAAAGGTAATGTGATTACGTGTGGCTCTCCTTTCCTGTTTTCATCCAAAAGGGACAAAGTTTTTATTGTTGCTACCTAAAGAAATAGAGTCTCGCCATCACCCTCTTTCGCATCACTTACTCCCTGCCTTGAGCTTTGCCTCCTCCCGGATGCCTTCATTGTTGCAGAAGTCACTGTGATTGGAGTTTCTGAGCATCTTGTTGGGCTGGGATGAGTGGCGTTTTGCTTTTTCAGAATGAAGGGGGGAAAACGTGGTGATTTTTTTTTTGCATGTGCAGTGAAGTGACTCTTCACCAAATCTAGTCAGTTTGTAAACAAATTTGAGAAGGTCTGCTGTAATTCTCATCCTGCCGTGATTCTCTCTGAGTTGTGGATGGTGGAGGAGAGAGTAACACTAAGCTTTAGAACAAAAGCCTTCAGGAAGGAAGGAACTCAAGGAGTCCTGGTACTGCCATGAAGATCGGAGATAATCAAAATTATGACACCTGCTCACATCCTGCTGCTGCCAATATGTGAAATCATTTCCCACCACCAGCACCTTTCTGCTCTCTCTCTCATCTTTCAGTCATATTTATGCTCAATACATAAATCTGGAACAGCAGCTGTGCAGAGGACAGCTTTCTTAGTGTTAATTGCTTGTTCAGTGGAAAGACACAAGGCCTACTTTAGCTTTCTTCAACCTGGTGCACTCCAGAAGTTTTGGACTACAACTCCCATCAGCCCCAGCCAGTCCAGCTGCACCGCTTGGGGCTGATGGAACTGTAGCCTGAAATATTTGGAGGACACCAGTCTGGGGAAAATCTAGCCTGTCTCATTGTAGAGTGTGGTAAGAGGTGAATATTGAAGTGTATGAACCAGGAAGAAGGAGGCTTCTGACGCTCATCACACACTAATGCTCCCCCTTTTTGAAAGAGATGCTGCTTGCAACCCTGTACTGTGAACTTTCCTTTTTTAGGTCTTGTAGAAAACTTAACTTATGGGATGTGAGGTGTGGGTTGCTTGTTCTTTGAAAAACATATCAATTAATTCATCCATTGTCAAAGAAATGACCCATGAACTAATTTCCTTTGCCACAAAACGAAGTTGGATTTCACAACGGGTGTTTGTTTCCTAAAACCTCATTTTGCTATGTTTTGCTATACTGAAAAGCCTTGTGTTTGTTTTTGCAGGGAGAAAAAGGAGAGCTGGGTGTGAAGGTGAGCCAAGCTGCTGCATTGTTTGCTTTTAAAAGTGGTTTCATGTGACGATAATTTATTTAGGTGGATTCCAGCTATCCTAGACACTAATAGTGAACTCATTCTCAGAGTGGGGATTGTTATATAGCCAAAACAGCACCATAGAAGGGTGAATCTCCAAAGTAGCCCATTGGGAGCTGAGTGTGCTTAGTAGCCATGAGGCTCTAGCTGTGTGTGAGAGAACTGACAACAAGGGGGAGAGGAGGAATAGAATGGAGTGACCTGAAGAGGCCATGGCTGGCTGAAACCCTGAGCAGAAGCATTCATCACTTCAACACTTTGTTGCAGGTCCCACTTGGATTTTTAAATGTAAATTAGAAGTTCATCCGTATAGCAATATAGGCAGCTGTGCCTTACACAGTCAGACCACTGGTGCATCTAGCTTGGTATTGTCTATATGGATTGGCAGTGGCTCTCTAGGGGTCCAGACAGGCATGCCAGAGATTGAAACGGATGCTAGCTATAACAGAACAACATCCTTCCAGTAATGCACCCCTAAGATTTATGTAAAATAGTGAATATCCCTAAGATTTTACTGGTTATAACTCCAGACCAAATATTTTACTGAATATAACTCTTTAATGTTTTATTATGTTTTTTATATATGTTGGAAGCTGCCCAGAGTGGCAACCCAGTCAGATGGACGGGGTACAAATAAAATCCTCATCATTGTCACCATCACCATCATCTGGTCTCTTAACACTCAGTGGCGCCACATGAGCAATTGCCCAGATAGTGCCTTGGGGTCTGAGTGGTAGTTTCTGATGCAGTAATTTCTGCACTAACAGAGAACTGGAGCCAGGATGCTGATGCACAGCCTTATTCTAGAACATGGTGTGCAACCAACACACCTTTGTGAGAGTTCCTTGGCTTCTTGCAAGATACCAAGGAATGGAGATGGAACTGCAGCTCACCCTGTCGCTCACATGCGGGGGCCCTTTAAGGAGCTGTGCTGCAGCTGTTTAGTTCTCTTGCCACCCAAGGTGGTGATTGGACAGGATGGCGAAGCAGTATCTGGACTGGCCCCATATGGGCAGAAAGGGTGTGACCCTGGGCACCTGGCAGTAATTAATATCAGACTTACTGTTCATCTTTCCTTGAAAATTACATGTGTTGCTTTTTTCTGTTGGTGTGCATAGCTGTATGTGCTATGGCTATCTGTATTTGCAATATGGCAATTGTGTGCCATAGGAGGATATTTCCTTGCTTCAAATACCTCCTTATCTACAGCACTGCTGGTGTTGAGCTTGCCAGTAGAAATTATTTTGAAGAGCATAGGGATTTGTGGCTGGAATAAAAGAAGGCAAAGAAAAAATGCACATGGATATCAGCTGAGAAATACTTTTAAGAGAGGAAAGCAGGAAGGCCTTGGTAGTAAAGGGGGTCACATCTGGCAGATGCCCACTTCTATATTCTCATGAGGGAATTGTTAAGTTGTGGGTGAACATATCAGACGACACAGCGATTCTTCAAACAGCTCTTGTTTATTTACAGGCCAGAACAGAACTGAACTGAAGGGTTCAGCCAGCCTGCTTATATAGAGCTCCAGTACAATGTAACTGTAACAACTTTCTGTAACTATCCAATCACTGAACGTCACTTTCGATCCCTTATTTGCATATGTGGACCTGAACTATCTACAGCATCCCCCTGCTGGCCCAGGGTGAGAACTTCGGTACATAACAGGAATAGTATCTGATTGCTTTCATTTTCCATATCTCTCTCTCCCTCAACCATGTCTAGGGAAATGCCGGCTTTGGATATCCAGGCGCAAAAGGACAGAAAGGGGAGCCTGGTGACCAAGGGTCTCCTGGCCCTGCTGGGCCCCCAGGCCCCCCTGGGACCATCGTGCAGCGCCCTGACGGTTCTGTGGTGGAGCAGGTTGCTGGGCCTCCAGGACCCCTGGGGCCACCAGGGCTGCCTGGGAAAGATGGCTTGCCTGGAAAGGATGGAGAGCCAGTAAGTAAACTTTTTTTTAAGGTAATGTCTGGTTTCAAGTGCAGGGTTTGTGTTACAGAGGAAAAGGGGTTCTTCAGATATGCAAACCACTTGCAGTCTTTGAATCCTTGCTGTTAAAATAATGGCCCAGTCAACACGTCACAGTAAACCATAGTTTATTGGTAGTTAAACTACCAGTTAATGGTTTACCAGACAGATGGTGCCTTATTTGCTCTTTCTGTAATATGAGCAGAAGCAACAAACCACAATTCCTGTTCTGGTGTCATGTTCCGATTAGGATTGTAACTTGTTTCACTCAAACAAATAATGATTGGTAAGCCAAGAATAAACCTTGACTTCATGGGCTGGAGCAAAACAAGCCACAATCCCCAGCTCAGATGTATCACAAAAACAGGGACTGTGATTTGTTGCTCTTGTTCATGTAAGGGGAGGAGTGAAGCAGGAACCAACTGCATTTCATAGTAAACATAGTAAACTTTGATTTACTGTGATCTGTGAAAGCAGCAAGTGCCTAAACTGCTGGTGTATGGCCAACTTAGAAAACACCTCTAGAGCTGCAGGTGATCCCGTGTACCAGACCCCCAGATGGTATTTTTTTTAATGGAGATTTCAAAATGTAAGTAATTCTCACCTATGCAATCCCTACAAGTAATTTAATTAGCCATCAATCTTTCACCTGTTACCGAGTTTGTTTTCTTCATAATGTTCTCTTTAGGGAAATTTTCTCCTGCTTTTTTGATTGCATACTCTGTTCCTCCTGCATGTGGCTGTGTGATCATTGCCTTGCTCCTATTTTTTTTAAATGTCTTTTTTACTACCTTACCAGAGCCGCCTCGAATAATTCCTTCCTCATTCCCAACCATATTACAATGGCTCACTTTGCCCATTGTTTGCTTCCTTCTTCAACAACCTTCCTTTTTCAACAAGCCCTTTAAGTGGAGATTTTCATAGCCTGCAGTCTGCTTTGTACTGTAAACTATTTTTTAACCATTTCTATATACAGAGTTATTTTTAAATGTTTGAACTGTTTTTCATTGCTTTTACACTTCCTTGTTTTATGGTTCTAAATCTTTTGTTTTATATTTGTATATTTTCTTACTGTAACCTGACCTGGGACCTTCTGGTGAAGGGCAAGTGTACGTGTATATTTTTAAAACCATTTGAAAGTTCTGACAAGAGGGATTTTCCCTATGTTTCATGGGGTGTTTATGGCTTTAGGCTTGCCTTTCCCAGCAGCCGTCTCAACCCAATTGCTTTGTAAGTGCTGAAGAGGTACCAAGAAAAGTAGGCCTGGGACTTAGGGCAGCTTGAATTGATAGCTGCTGAATTACAACTTTGTAGAAAATGTCTGGCATTTGCTAACCTCCTATGTTTTATTCTTACTAGGGAGATCCTGGTGAGGATGGTAAACCAGTAAGTTCTGCTCTTTTGTCCCTCAACTTTTAAAGATAAATCCCTCAACTGGTATAGTTATAGGGAAATAGATTTAACTTTAGTGCTTTCCATAAAAAAGTAGTTTCTTTCTTCTCTTGCCTATTTTAGGAGTATAGAAAATAATTACAGTTCTTGGAGTTTCCCTTTCCTGAACTTTGAAATCCCTGTTTGGGGTTTTTAATTTTTTGGTGGAGACAAAGTGCTGTGTAACAGTAACAGTAAACATAACAGTAAACAACCTGATCATAGTTTAAAAATAATAATAATAAATGAAAATGAAACAAAAATATTTTTTAAAATAAAAATGTTTTAAATGTATTAATATTTTATAGAAATACTTTATTGCATCACTTTCAAGCATGTCTGTGTATGGTATTTTGTGACAAATGTTTGTTTATGAGACGTCAAAATAGTTAGAACATTGTAAACTAAGCCCCCAGCATGCATGGTGTGTGTACTGCTTCTTAGCAGGAACTTGGTTTTATCATCTGTCATGGTTGCTTAGCTGAGATTCCTGCATTGCAGGGGGTTGGACTAGAATCAGTGTTTCCCAACCTTGTGCCTCCAGCTGTTTTTGAACTACAACTCCCATCATCCCTGACTAGCAAGACCAGTGGCAAGGGATGATGGGAATTGTAGTCCAAAAACAGCTGGAGGCACAAGGTTGGGAAACACTGGACTAGATGACCCTCAGGGTCCCTTCCAACTCTGCAATTCTATTATTCTATAATCTATAATCTTAAACAGATTTTCTTAATGTAGAGCCCGGGTGGCAGGTGCTGTTCATCAGAAGGCACTTCATCTTGGAGTGACTTTCAGCTGCCTTGCACAGTGGTCTGGTTTGCATGTCACTCTAAACCAAATTGGGAAGGAGCTTGCAGCTGCTTTCTTCCTCCACAGACCTGTCTGCAGCTGTGATGTGCTGAGTTAGCCAAATGCACCATTTGAACCTGGGCTTGTGGTTTTCTCTAGATTATTCAGGAGCTTGTAACCAAGAAGAAAACCTTGTGTGGTGTGTGAACTGGGGCATGATGTGCAACTGTGTGTGTGTATGTGTGTGTGTTTATAAACATGTTTTAGATGCTTCTGTGTGGCTCTTCTGGGATCACCCAGACGTCATCACTTCTTGACTTATTTCCTTTGCAGGGTGATGTTGGCCCTCAAGGATTCCCTGGGACGCCGGGAGAGCCTGGCCAGAAAGGTGAAAAGGTATGAGCTTCCGTCACATGGGCATATTCTGGTATCATTGAACTCTCAAGTTCAGCAGCCATCGGTGTTTTCTGAGCAGATTTCATTTGTGGCTGCTTTGCGAAAGCGTGGCCAATGCTCTCATCTCTGTCATTTCCTCTCTTCACCTAGGGTGATGCAGGCATTGGTCCAAGAGGTTCTCCTGGGCCACCAGGGCCACCTGGGCAACCAGGATTCAGTTCAAAACTGGACAAGTTGGTGAGTCCCAGATACCCACAATAACTGCATGGGGAGAAGCCGTTCTCCTTGTCACTGCCCCCTCTGGTTGAAGCTGTCTGGTGTAGCTGTTTGCTTTCCTCTGAAGCCACAGTTCACCCTTCCCTCTCTCCCCTCTCCTCTCTTCCTTTATTTAAATATTTATAAGCCACTCTTCCATTAAAAAAAATAACAAGTCTGTGCATGGCATAATTTTTTATTGTATGCATTAATTTTCTGAGCGTGTTTTCTTTTTCTTTTTTTTACATCCAGTAAAAATCATTTTATTTGCCCAGACCTTTTCAGAGTTTATTTTTCATCCTGTATTTATGATCTGTTTTGCTCTTAAATATCGTGCTGCTTTTACCAATGTTACGTTTTATTGTAAGAAGTGCTGTGAGCCCTTGTAGGCTGAACCACTGAATAATAAAGGAAAAAAATAAATACTAGGCAATTTGAGAGAGTACTTTTCTTTCTCAATTATTAGAACACCCTTCACAATGTCTTGAGTCTGACTCTCTCATTTGGGATAAACTTAACTCCTTACACTGTTAAACTCACAGCAAGGAGGCCAGAGTTGGGCCCAATTCTTTACCCCACTAGCATTTCTCATTGGTGTGCTTATAGAACAGTGTGCTTTTCTTTCAGACATTTATCGATATGGAAGGCTCTGGTTTTGGAGGGGATTTGGAAACCTTACGTGTAAGTACCAAAAAGCAGTGTGAACAGGTGCTGCCTTCAGAAGGATTTCTTCTGGGGAGGTGGTGAATGGCATGCACCTCAGAAGTTAACTTGCACCACAAATGCTCTCTTATATTATATGTTCACACCTGATTTTGAATCCTATTTGTTGTGTTTCAGGGCCCCAGAGGACAACCCGGGCCCCCAGGACCACCTGGTGTGCCTGGCTTGCCAGGACAACCTGGAAGAATTGGGACGGATGGCAGTGACCTTCCAGGGCCCCCTGGCCTCCCTGGAGTGCCAGGTCGAGATGGCAGCCCAGGACCTCCAGGGCCTCCTGTAAGTTAAAGAAGATGCGGGGAAGGAATAATTGAGGATGGTAAAATGCGAGTCTCCAGAAACTGCCCCAGCTCCCAGTATTATGGGGCTTTGGCTTTGGTTGTCAACTCTTCCACTGCAGTTTCAGAGGCATAGATAAGGGTGGAAGCCTTTGCTTGCTGCTTTGTTGTGCTCTTGTGGGGTTGCTGGAGTTAGTCCACAAAGTAAAAGCTTGCCAGGTGTTACCAAACCTTTAAAGTTATTGCACATAGGTTCCCTGTATTGCGTTAGCAGCATTTTCATTGGAGTTGACCTGAAACATGGTCTTGATTAATTGGATGCATATAAGAAACTTAGGCTTCTGTTCTGCTGCTTTGGGTATAGGTCACAAATAGTTCTATATATGTGTGAGCATCACCAAAAGCTAAAACAGTATCCCAAATATAAGCATGAGATATAATAATGTGAATATTTCATAATCTTGTAGCCAAGAGGTGCAAGTATGACAGTCTAAACTAGTAGCTTGTGGAACACAGGGCAACCTACTTTTCCTTTGGGGCGGGTGTGTGCTAATCTGTCCCAAGTTGCTTCTCTGCACAGTTCCAAACAATGGAGCTTCTTTTATGAATAAACACACACCCGGAGCATCACAGGGAGAAAAGTGCTTTGTGGACACACCTTGGAGTGAAGAAACAGTGAGCAAGGGAAAGGTTTCACACTGAGAGCCTGTGTGATTTAGTGGTTAGAGCATTGGACTAGGACCTGGGAGAGCAGGGTTCGAATCCCTACTTAACCATGAAGCTCACTGGGTGACTTGGGCCAGTCACCATCACTTAGCCTAACCGAGGCATAGGCAAACTCGGCCCTCCAGATATTTTGGGACTACAACTCCCATCATCCCTAGCTAACAGGACCAGTGGTCAGGGGTGATGGGAATTGTAGTCCCAAAACACCTGGAGGGCCGAGTTTGCCTGTGCCTGCTCTACCATACCTCACGGGGTTGTGAGGGTGAAATAGGGAGAAGGAGAACCGTGTATAACACCTTGAGCTATTTGGAAGAAAAAGGTGCTATATAAATGTAATAAATAAAATAATAAATAAATCACACACACACACTGCAATCTTTCCAATAAAAATCCAATACATACTCCCCTGCAAAAGTTGTGTCCAGTGGAAAATAGCTTTCATTCTTTTAGTACACAAAGACGTGTACAATATGTAGTTCTGTTTACAGGGAAGAGACGGTATCCTTTGACAAGGAATGGTCTTGGGATTAATGGATGCAAACTGGCTGATGGCAGCTTTTAACACAACTTTCCTTTTCTAATCTTTTCCAGGGCCCTCCCGGTTCTCCAGGAAAAGATGGGATAGCTGGCCAGCCTGGGCTGAATGGAGCTAGTGTATGTATATTTCTCTCTTAGCTGTGCAAGTTCCTTTCACAGAGCTGAGAAAATAGGCTGCCTCTGGCTTGAATTTAGTAAAAAAAGAAAAGCACATTCACACTTCTTTTCCTTTGCTGTTTCCAGGGAGAACCAGGAGAACTAGGCCTCCCAGGAGCACCTGGACCTAAGGTAGAATAGCTCACTTTCTGGGTACAGTACAAGGACAGGACAGAGTAAGACTGAGGTTGTCTTCTCTCATAGGTGGTTCAGACATTTCATCTTCTTTTCCTGCTTCTCAACCTTCCTATTTTCCATTTACTTTCCCCCACCTAACTAGAACACTCTGCTTCCTATCTCCCCTGATGTGTTAGAGATACTTTCTTACTACTACAGAACCCCATACAGGGGAAGACAAAAAATGGAGGTAACATCACTGCGCATGTGTTTGTGTGGCACAAAAAAATGCAGTTTGATATGTGTGCAGAGGTGTAATAACAATACAGTGTGATCCTGCATGTTGAATGGTTTGTGGAATTGTGGGGAGAACGCCCCCTGCCCTCTATTGCAGTATGACATGCAGGTCTGGGTGTTTTCTAACACGTTCTTTGAACTGGCCTAATTGGTGGTGGTAGTCCCATTTAAAAATAAATAAATAACCATGTAAGGTTTCTTTTCTCACCTAGGCACTGGAAAAGACACATCTCCTTCTATTAACCCAGCACTCTTAAGAGATGTAAAAGAAGATGTTCCTCTAACCTTAGCGTTTTTGACATTATTTTATTAAAAGCAAGCTTAAAAACATTTCAGATGAGAATGCCTTTATTATTGAACACTGATAAGACAATAGCATCTAGCTATAAAATAAAAGCAGTCTATATTTTCTGTAAGCTACACTTCCCGTAGACCATAATTTACTTTCTCTTCTTAGTGCACATGTTCTGCCTGATAATGGACAAAATGCAGACTTTGGGTACAGTCCTGAAGCCAGTGTGTCTGACGTCAGATTTCCTTACATATCCCCAGTACACTTGCTTATGTAAAAGACCTAAACGTGTGTGTAGGCCACCAGTTTGGGCCACAGAAACCACTCCTGTACGGGAGTGCAAATAAACTGTTGTGTGCATTAAGAGGTTCTGTGTGGTGCATATCTACATGCTAAGTCAGCTGCAATTCGACAGCTGCAAAATTCAAAATATGCAGGCTGAGTTAGTCCCCAATTTTATGCAATTTAGGGTGCTTCCTCTGTTCAGCTGCACACACTTGGTAACACTTGTGGCATTGTACACTTCAACCAGTGTGAGCATCTGACAACAGAGCGCAGATCAGAAGCATGTGCCATTCTGGGATGTGATGCACATACAGATGTTTGTAATGCATGTAACGAGAGAGAGGCAGCATTGCAAGGTTTTCTTTCAGAAATACTGTGCATAATATCCTATTACCAGGCTATTTTTGGCCCTCTTGTACTTTCCTTCTCTTTGCTCTTTTCAAACATCCTTTCCTGTTTTCTTCCAGGGCAGTAAAGGAGATGCAGGGTTGCCGGGAGCACCGGGTGAAACTGGCCTGGCAGGCCTTCCTGGGCCCATGGGTCCCCGAGGACAACCTGGTCCTCCTGGCCCACCTGGGCCAGCCTTTGGGCCTGGATTTGTGAGTACCATGTTTGAAATGCCATTGTTGAACACACCACTGTTCCGTGGGCTCCATAAGACCCAAGAAGTGCAAAATGTTGGAAAAACTTGGTTGTACTACTAATAGTTGTTCCATCAGTGTGTGAGGTGCTTAGCAGAGTACCAAACAAAGAGAAATGTTCCTCTTTTCAAACTAAATGTGAACATGGATGAAGGCAATAAAAGGAGGAGAGACAAGTGGAGGCAAGGGTAAATAGGTGACTGTGCATTAAATTAAGTTACAAACAGGTTACAGCCACACATTCATATCACTTTAACAGTCATTCCTTTTGCCCCAAAGAATCCTGGGACCTACAATTTCCAGCCCCCTTGAACTCCGCTTCCCAGCATTCTTTGGGAGGGGTGATTTAAATGTATGGTGACTATGTTGAGACTTTGCTTCAGTAGGAGATGAGTCAAAGGTTTCCTGGGAAAAGAGGGATTTGAAGGATGTGAGAGTGAAGTGGCATCACATAGAAGGGAGTTCCAGGTATAAGGAAAAGCAAGCAAGGAAGAGTAGAGTAGTTTGAGGGAGCAGAAGATGGTCAGAATTATCCACTGCATCTCTCTCAAAGACCAAAGCAACTGGCATTTCTCTGTCAATCCCAATTTCCGTACCTCCATAGAAATGAACCAAGTGGTTTAGGCACATGGGAATTTTTACACTAACCCTGTGACTTTGGCAACAATGTATGCAAGAATCAACTGTCTGATTAGATAACGTTTATTAGGAATAAAGAAGGAAAGGGAAGAGAACAAAGGAACTAAGCAGAATATTGAAAATAAAAGGAGCTCTTTAGCTCAAGTCTAGCTCATCAAGAACCAGTGACTTAGAAACAGGCATAGCTGGTCATTTGCAGGGTTTTCTGTTGGTCAGTGATGGACAAGGGACTTTAGTGTGAGGGACAAAAGGCTGCATGGCCATAGCCTCTCTCTTTTTTAAAGGGTTTCCTACCCACATTGCAGTTGAGTGTCCGGTGGCACTTCTCAGCCAATTATTTGCCAAGTCACCTGTAAACACCTGTAGGGGAGTTAGAGGGGCGAGGATGGTAGGAAGCTCCTGGGGATGTGACTATCTTAGTGTTCATTCGCACTGGGATTTCTTGATGTTGCTTCCAGAGGGACCTATCCTGTGCTTGTGTATTTGGGAACTTGGATATGTCTGGCTTGCTCAAGCAAAATGGATGGGAAGAGATCAGGGCTTTTCTCCACAGGCTTTACCAGATGACAGTTCTGCCTGGAGACTAACGCCATCCATTCTTTCTTAGGATGACATGGAGGGCTCAGGGCTGCCGTTGGTTTCTGCTGTTCCTGGAGCACGTGGACCAGAAGGGCCACAGGTATTCCTCATTCCATTTCTCAGCATTGCCTTCCTCCAAAGACTCCATCACTGTGAGCACCTGCTTGGGAGCATGCAGGATTTGAATAACACAAGCTTTATTTATGAGTAAAGATGCATAGGAATGGGCTGCTAATCAGTTTATATTTTTTATGAGTGTTGAGGTTAACCTTTCAGCACTCGCAAAGAGCCATGTGTTACCACTTGTGATTAAGGGGGGTGCAGACCAAATAAGAAAGTTATGAGCTTTTGAAGTTATCTTCTGACCCCCTCATCTACAGGATGATGGCATATTATCACCTGAGTCTATACTGGACATGCATTAAAAGCTTTCCATGTTGCCAGTGTCCCGCTGGAGACATTCGGTCTGTTGTTGTTCTTCTTGCAGAAACAAGCATATTCCACTGATTGCCATGTTAATGTCCTAGTCCACAGCTGAGTGTCAGGCACACTCTGAAAAGACAGACCTTGCCTGTGGACTGTGATACTTAAAATCTGAATAGCAGACCTTAAGTTACGCTATAAAACATGGATCCTGCTATGTCATTATTGTTAATGGATGCTAAATACACACAATATGGCTTTGAGGAGATTGTGCTCTTCTATAGGTCATGAAATCTGACAGAATTGAGTTGATGACCATTTTTATTTTTATAGGGACCACCAGGGCTTCCAGGACTCAAGGTCAGAATTATTGTTGTTACTATTTTGTTGTTGTTGTTTGCTGCTGTATTTAACTAGTTGGTTGGTAGGCAGTATGGCTTGGCTTGTTTTAAGCCAGAACTGCACCCACAAATGAAGGTATCCATCTCTCTGCCTGATCTGAACTCCATTTAGTGTCCAGTGCTCTTTTTTAAAAATCATTTTCCTATTCAAGTTAAGGTCCTTTCCATAACAGGCCAATCATATTAGTTCACAAGGCAAAACGTGGATGGTGGTAGGTTGAGTGGGCAGAGGACTACTGAGTTTTGTGGTGTTGTTACAATGAAGCACTCAGAGTGTTGAACTAGGTTGGTGCAAATATATTCTGCAAGGCATGTATGAATCAGGTGTGGATAGGGAAGGGTTATAGAACAGCAAGATGAGGCTCTTACGACGCTTTCCTTAGTCCTGTCTCTTGTCATTCAGACTAGGATAACCTCTACATTTTGGTGCAACGTCTTGGCTTTCATAAAGGATGCATACTGACCCAAAAACAGAACTGTCAAAAGCAGGGGTCAGCAACCTTTTTCAGCCTTGTGGTGGGCCAGACTATATTTTGGGGGGGGGGGGATGAACGAATTCCTATGCCCCACAAATAACCCAGAGATGCATTTTAAATAAAAGGTCACATTCTATTCATGTAAAAACACGCTGATTCCCAGACCATCCGCGGGCCAGATTGAGAAGGCCAATGGGGCCGCATCTGGCCCCTGGGCCTTAGGTTGCCTACCCCTGGTCAAAAGGCAAGGTGCATCACTCCAACTGCCCTAGCAGAGCACAGGCAGGACCATTCCAATTTAGATGGTGCTGCACACGTGTCATACTGCCACATACTGTCACAAGTTCCATCCCACCATCAACAGCAAAATAGTATGGACTAGGACTCAAATGGAAAAACAGAGGACTTCCGGGTTGACGCGATCTGGAAATGGCGGATTCCCTCCGAGCTCCGGAGGGAACCGGCTCCACTGAGGATGGGTCTTTGCCGCGCCGGCGACGCGGGGACCCTTAAAAACCGCAGGCGCGGAAGCCTGCGGACTGAAGACTCGGCGGGTGCCTTAAGCGCCCCCCTGATTCGCAAAGAGCCTTTTTAAAGGCTGCGGAGGGGATACGGGGGTGGCGTGGCACTGAGAGTCGATCGCTACCTCGGTGGAGTGAAGCCGCGAGCCAGGACCAGAGAGCGCTGACTTCCTTCCTTGAAAATTTGGACTGAAAGAATTACCCGTGAGTAAGACGGATTGGGACTATATAAAAATTTTTACCTTGAATTGGAGACGATCGGGGGGTGTGCTAAAAGGAAGTCCGCACCCCCCCTCTTGCAGACGACCTAAGCAACGGCATAAGAGCTAAGCTGGAGAGCTTACCCCTGGTGGGGTGAGTTAAAAAGGACATTAACTTCTAAGATTTAACGAAAGGAAATTTTGGGCTGGAGAGTGGAGTTTTGGGAACTTTCTTTTTGCTTCAAACAACCCCCCGCGAGTCTCCAGAAACTGCCCCACTCCCAGTATTATGGGGCTTTGGCTTGGTTGTCAACTCTTCCACTGCAGTTTCAGAGGCATAGATAAGGGTGGAACCTTTGCTTGCTGCTTTGTTGTGCTCTTGTGGGGTTGCTGGAGTTAGTCCACAAAGTAAAAGCTTGCCAGGTGTTACCAACCTTTAAAGTTATTTGCACATAGGTTCCTGTATTGCGTTAGCAGCATTTTCATTGGAGTTGACCTGAAACATGGTCTTGATTAATTGGATGCATATAAGAAACTTAGGCTTCTGTTCTGCTGCTTTGGGTATAGGTCACAAATAGTTCTATATATGTGTGAGCATCACCAAAAGCTAAAACAGTATCCCAAATATAAGCATGAGATATAATAAGTGAATATTTCATAATCTTGTAGCCAAGAGGTGCAAGTATGACAGTCTAAACTAGTAGCTTGTGGAACACAGGGCAACCTACTTTCCTTTGGGGCGGGTGTGTGCTAATCTGTCCCAAGTTGCTTCTCTGCACAGTTCCAAACAATGGAGCTTCTTTTATAGATAAACACACACCCGGAGCATCACAGGGAGAAAAGTGCTTTGTGGACACACCTTGGAGTGAAGAAACAGTGAGCAGGAAAGGTTTCACACTGAGAGCCTGTGTGATTTAGTGGTTAGAGCATTGGACTAGGACCTGGGAGAGCAGGGTTCGAATCCCTACTTAACCATGAGCTCACTGGGTGACTTGGCCAGTCACCATCACTTAGCCTAACCGAGGCATAGGCAAACTCGCCTCCAGATATTTTGGGACTACAACTCCCATCATCCCTAGCTAACAGGACCAGTGGTCAGGGGTGATGGGAATTGTAGTCCCAAAACACCTGGAGGGCCGAGTTTGCCTTCCTGCTCTACCATATACCTCACGGGGTTGTGAGGGTGAAATAGGGAGAAGGAGAACCGTGTATAACACTTGAGCATTTGGAAGAAAAAGGTGCTATATAAATGTAATAAATAAAATAATAATAATCACACCACACCACTGCAATCTTTCCAATAAAAATCCAATACATACTCCCCTGCAAAAGTTGTGTCCAGTGGAAAATAGCTTTCATTCTTTTAGTACACAAAGACGTGTACAATATGTAGTTCTGTTTACAGGGAAGAGACGGTATCCTTTGACAAGGAATGGTCTTGGGATTAATGGATGCAAACTGCTGATGGCAGCTTTTAACACAACTTTCCTTTTCTAATCTTTTCCAGGGCCCTCCCGGTTCTCCAGGAAAAGATGGGATAGCTGGCCAGCCTGGGCTGAATGGAGCTAGTGTATGTATATTTCTCTCTTAGCGTGCAAGTTCCTTTCACAGAGCTGAGAAAATAGGCTGCCTCTGGCTTGAATTTAGTAAAAAAGAAAAGCACATTCACACTTCTTTTCCTTTGCTGTTTCCAGGGAGAACCAGGAGAACTAGGCTCCCAGGAGCACCTGGACCTAAGGTAGAATAGCTCACTTTCTGGGTACAGTACAAGGACAGGACGAGTAAGACTGAGGTTGTCTTCTCTCATAAGGTGGTTCAGACATTTCATCTTCTTTTCCTGCTTCTCAACCTTCCTATTTCCATTTACTTTCCCACCTAACTAGAACACTCTGCTCCTATCTCCCTGATGTGTTAGAGATCTTTCTTACTACTACAGAACCCCATACAGGGGAAGACAAAAATGGAGGTAACATCACTGCCGCATGTGTTTGTGTGGCACAAAAAAATGCAGTTTGATATGTGTGCAGAGGTGTAATAACAATACAGTGTGATCCTGCATGTTGAATGGTTTGTGTGAATTGTGGGGAGAACGCCCCCTGCCCTCTATTGCAGTATGACATGCAGGTCTGGGTGTTTTCTAACACGTTCTTTGAACTGGCCAATTGGTGGTGGTGTCCCATTTAAAAATAAATAAATAACCATGTAAGGTTTCTTTTCTCACCTAGGCACTGGAAAAGACACATCTCCTTCTATTAACCCAGCACTCTTAAGAGATGTAAAAGAAGTGTTCCTCTAACCTTAGCGTTTTTGACATTATTTTATTAAAAGCAAGCTTAAAAACATTTCAGATGAGAATGCCTTTATTATTGAACACTGATAGACAATAGCATCTAGCTATAAAATAAAAGCAGTCTATATTTTCTGTAAGCTACACTTCCGTAGACCATAATTTACTTTCTCTTCTTAGTGCACATGTTCTGCCTGATAATGGACAAAATGCAGACTTTGGGTACAGTCCTGAAGCCAGTGTGTCTGACGTCAGATTCCTTAATATCCCAGTACACTTGCTTATGTAAAAGACCTAAACGTGTTGTGTAGGCCACAGTTTGGCCACAGAAACCACTCCTGTACGGGAGTGCAAATAAACTGTTGTGTCTTAAGAGGTTCTGTGTGGTGCATATCTACATGCTAAGTCAGCTGCAATTCGACAGCTGCAAAAATTCCAAATATGCAGGCTGAGTTAGTCCCCAATTTTATGCAATTTAGGGTGCTTCTCTGTTCAGCTGCACCACCTTGGTAACACTTGTGGCATTGTACACTTCAACCAGTGTGAGCATCTGACAACAGAGCGCAGATCAGAGCATGTGCCATTCTGGGATGTATGTGCACATACATGTTGTAATGCATGTAACGAGAGAGAGGCAGCATTGCAAGGTTTTCTTTCAGAAATACTGTGCATAATATCCTATTACCAGGCTATTTTTGGCCCTCTTGTACTTTCCTTCTCTTTTGCTTTTCAAACATCCTTTCCTGTTCTTCCAGGGCAGTAAAGGAGATGCAGGTTGCCGGGAGCACCGGG